TCAAAACAGCAACCTTCTTGCTGTGAGGCGACAGCGCTACCCACTGCACCACCGTGATGCCCCTGCGTGTTTAAATATCTACCCACAAATTTAACTTTTCTTTTTAGTCAGATGGGTTCAGGTAGTGCCTATGTTCTACCCTGCTTCAGTAAAATTCAGCATCACAGCAAAATGACCACCTTGTGTTATATAACATAAATCGACCCATCAGCATGGTTGTCAAGGCAAAATTTCAAGTGCAACCAAACATTTTAAACAGAGACATTGTGAATCATTTAAAAAAATTAAAACCTTAAGTTCGGAAAACTATATTAACTTAAAGTTTTTTGGCTGCCTAATGGTAGGTGTTACGATGACGAAGAAGGTCGCTGGTTCGAGCCTCGACTGGGTCAGTTGACATTTCTGTGTGAAGTTGCATGTTCTCCCCATATTTGTGTGGGTTTCCTCCAGGTGCTCCAGTTTCCCCCACATGTCCAAAGACATGCACTATATGTGGGTTAGCTAAAATGTCTGTAGTGTATGTGGGTGAATGAGAGTGGATAGATGTTTCCCAGTGATGGGTTGCAACTGAAAGGGTATCTGCTGTGTAAAACATATGCTGGATAAGTTGTCGGTTCATTCCGCTGTGGCAACCTTAGATTAATAAAGAGACTAAGCCGAAAAGAAAATGAAGAAAATTAGAACTGTTTTTTTAAACAACTTCAAATGCTGACTAATGTAGTTGACCAAACACTGCAGTTCAAATCGCTGCGAGTCACTGCAAAGTTCATTTGCATGTGTTTTTAAAGCCTATATTTCAAGTGAAGTGAAATATTTTGTGCACAAGAAATTATAATGTCTGTAGCTTAAACAATTGTATATAGAGAGATTTGAAGAGAACTGTCTATAATTGAAGACTACTGTTTTATTTTACATTTGATTTTTCAAAACTGTGTATGAACACTGTCAGATCTCCCACTGTTTTTGGTTTCACTAGTATCTTTGTCTCTGTTTATCTATGTTTTGCCTGTAAATAGTTTTTTTTTACTTTATGCAAATATATTCTCCTACAAAATCATTCCAATCAATGTAAAATTAGGATTTTTTTCTCCAAAAAGAACTGTATTAAAGCCATGTGGTGAAATTGCATTTTTACTGAAAAATATATCGTAGTAAAACCCAATATCGAAATGTCAGATTTTTCCAGTGTCGTAAAGCCCTATTAAATACACACATATGCATATATAAACTAAAACATATTTATCTATACATATTTAAAACTGATTACAAAATGACAAATGACAAAAACAACAAATTACTCCAATGTGAATTTAAAACAGAAAAATGTAAAAGTTTAGAAATAAGAAATACTATAAAAATAAAATGCACCCTTTCAAAAATACTTTCAACTATCATACCGACTTGTACACCTTAAACAATAGTACACATTGACAATAAGCAAAATGGCACTGATGGAAGGTTTTGTTGATTACCTCCTTCCTGAAGGTGGGAGCATGCTCTCTGCAGCCAGGAAGCCCTCGTACAAAACTTGCAACCTAAAAAAAAATCAACAAAAATAAATGAAAATGTACAAGACCTCTATACAAACTTAACTGAATAAATTCAAAAGGACCAAACATCACCTCCTCTGTGTTCCACTTGGACACTCTCTTGGCAGTGAGGCCTAAAGCTTCAGGCAACAGTTTGCCATGCTTCTCCCAACACAGCTGAAACCTCGGCTGCTCCCATCCACAAAACACAGACTCATGCAGGAACTGCTGTAGAGAATCTACAGACACAAGTAAACTTTCATCATGACATGCCTCGAAATTCTTCTCACGATACAATAAACCAGCTCAAAATACATTATTCAAGTCGTTAGCTTACAATTATAAGGTTCTATCAGACATTTTTGTCAATATTGTGTTATTGACATATTCATACTAAATGACAACTTATATACATTATGGGATGTTGTTTTATAAGTTATTTACATTTCAATAATTTTTTAAAAACAAATGTTACACACATACTGTTCGCAATATGGATTGCAAAAACTTTGTAGTTCAATATCTCAAAATCATTCAGAAAGCAGATAGAACTTTATAATTCCAAGGTGACAGGTACTTAGAAATGTGCGTTCAAAAAAATTCAGAAAATGGATGAACCCCAATGGATCATAAAGGAGGTATGCTAAATCAGTGTTTCTCAACCACATTCCAGGGGGACCACCAATACTGCATGTTTTGGATGTCTCATTTGTCTGTCACGACCCTTACAGGTCTTTCAGGCTTTGCTAATGAGCTGATGAACTGAATCAGGTGTGTTTGGTTAAGGGAACATGGAAATTTGTGTAGAGCTGGTAGTCCATCAGGAACATGGTTGAGAAAAATTGTGCTAAATCACTGTTTGTATTTTTAGGAAAACAATACATATACAGTGGAGATCAAAATGACAGAACCTACAATTTCCTAAATTTAATGGTCACTGCTATGTCCTATTTGATATAATAGGTGGTAACAAACAGCAGTTGTAAGCATATTTTATAAGTAACATATTATAAAGGACTGTCTATGAATTATTAGGATAATTATTACATTTTTATTCTAATAATGATCAAAATTACAAACACTTTCAGATACCACCCAGTTATTGGTGTTAATCTGGCACCTGGTTCCTATTCTGTTAGCTTTCCAGTTTTCACAAATTAGGTATGAACAGAGATCAGAGCCAGCACCAAATGGGCAGGTCTCAGGTCAGTTCTGAATGTGACGGACTAGAGCTCTAAGTGAGTTGTAGAAACTTCCTGGAATGTTTGATAGATTCATTTAATGTCTTGACTCTTGAATCTAACCTATTGTTTAATTAACATCTACACCAACCCCAACCCTAAACCTACCCCTTACAGCAGAAGTGCCAAACTTAGTTCCTGGAAGGCTGCCAACCTGCAGAGTTTAGTTCCAACCCTGCTTCAACACACTTACCTGTGGGTTTCAAACAAGCCTGTTGGACTGATCAGGTGCTTAATTAGGGTTAAGGATAAACTGTGAAGAGCTGCAGAAGTTTGACATCTGTGCATTACACTAATGCAAAAACTATTGCATAAATTATTGATATCCAGTGTCACAAAAGTGATGCGATATTGATGTGCATATAATTTTATAAAGTGTTAAACTTTTGGTATTTGTTATGCAGCGATTGTTGTGTACACTATGATTTTATATAATATTAACTTTAATGTGTGATAGGAATAAAACATGATCAGAAACTAATGATTTCTCCACTCAAATGAATGGCGGCTTGGACCCGGAAACAGTATTACATACGACACCACTTAACAAGCGGATAGACAGCAAGATGGTGATTTGTTCTAAAGTGATGGAAATCCTCAGCCAGGATATTATTCAAACAAAAGACAAAGGGGTTACTCTTTCAGCCGTAGTAAGAGAAGTTGGCCTTTCCAAATCTGTTCCTAGAATTTTGGATCTTTATAATAACATGACTCATAGTGGGTGTAGCTCAGGGGTGGGCAAACTCGGTCCTGGAGAGCCAGTGTCCTGCAAAGTTTAGCCCCAACTCTAATCACACACACCTGCTTATAGATTTATAGTGATCTGAAGAAACCGATTAGCATGTTCAGGTGTGTTTAATTAGTGTTGCAGCTAAACTATGCAGGACACTGGCCCTCCAGGACCGAATTTGCCCACCCTTGGTGTAGCTTATTCAAGTCCCCTAAAAAAGGCTGGACATCTAGGAAAGACAAATAAATGAGAAGAAAGGATAACACAGGGAATCTCAATGGGCGATTTGTGCAAAACGACTTTCCTGCAGGAGGAATTGCAGTTAGTAAAGTCAGTGAAAGGTGGAGGTGAAGTGTCATAGTTTGGGAGATTTGGGAGACAGCAAAACAGGTCAAGCAGTTCTCTGAAGCTGAAAACACTTTTATAGTACCATTATATAACAAATTAAATTTCTTTTAAAATTGAATTCTTACATTTGAAGTGTTCATAAACTGTTGTATAACTTTGATCTCCACTGTAAACAAAAAAATACATTCATTTCATGACCTCCAAACAACAAAAATGAAGTCCAAATAACATACACTGTACATCATATCTGTTAATTAACAGTTTCCATATTTTGTGATTCATAAGTGTTTTTTATTTATTTATGGGTAGGCTAAATTGTATGTAGTGTGTAAGTGTGAATGAGTGTGTATGGATGTTTTTCAGAGATGGGTTGCAGCTGGAAAGGCATCCGCTACTTAAAACATATGCTGGATAACTTGGCGGTTCATTCCGCTGTGGCGAGCCCAGATTAATAAAGAAACTAAGCCGAAAAGAAAATGAATGAATGATCTCTGCTCTGTGGACTTTTGATGTTGAAAATTCAAATCTACAGTTTAACAAAGGGACTTTTATTGACAGTGTTGTAGTTTGAAATAATATAATGTATTAGAAATACCATAGAGAGCATTAAGCCTGTAATATAACAGAAAGTTAACTGGCACTTTATTACAGGGCTTTTCATGAGGTGTATCATATACAACACCAGACAATATATCACTTTAAAATATTATAAATTTCAATAAAAATCCCCTTTTCAAACATTAAGGGTTAAAAGTTGTTGGAAGAAAGATCAAAGTGCCTTAATACAATTCAAAATGGTGGAATATAAAATAAAAAATATGAATCACAAATTAGGGAAAACTGCTCATTTACTGATGCGTTTTATAATGTATCATCTGACTGATATGTACCTTTTCCGTCCCCTTCCTGCTTCACCTGTGGTGCCTTGACACATTTGGGAGCAGCGGCAGTCCTGCAGTATATGAAGATCGAGAAAACAAATTGAGAAGTGAAAGTGTGTGTGTGTGTGTGTGTGTGTGTGTGTGTGTGTGTGTGTGTGTGTGTGTGTGTGTGTGTGTGTGTGTGTGTGTGTGTGTCAAGACAGTAGGGCTTTTCACACTTGAAATGACGAAAAGTCAATACAGAAAATAGTAATAGACACTCACACAACATGCTCGCGCACGGGCCGGGCTTGTGGACAAGCGTCAGTGGTGGTGTCTGGGGGCTCTGGAGTGCTGGCGCTGGACGTAGGCTGGTGTGTTTGAGTGAGTGTTTCAGCACGTCGATGGCGTGGGGGTCCACTGATAGTGACCGGCCTCTCCCCGCTCAGCCTGTCTGGAACCAACCCATCCTTATTAAAATTTAGGTCCGAGTATGGACAACTCACCGCCCTGAAGAGAGAGAGACTTGTTTGAATTAATAAGCATTAATGAGATGTGTTCGCACCAGTATGTGTAAAACTTACGTGTAATGTGTCCCATACCGAGGTCCTCTGATGTGTCCGACTCCATTGCATCCTGGGGTTGGACAGCCTTGTCCTGGAGGAACTGGAGAATCTCTAGTACCTGATAGGGTTACGGATTTGAGAGTGAGTCTGGTGTTTACATGTGTGAATTATTAGATTCATCATCTCAGAGAGCACATTACCATTGGGATGTTGTAGAGGATGACCCGTCTTCTGACACCAACCTACGGGGTGCAGTTCTGGGCTGTCGGCGTCTAGCCAATAATCATATTCATCACTCCAGCCGTCGAAATGGATCTATTTGTAGATAAACACATAAGTAATTACCACACAAAGACTATACTAGTATAATAAAGGTAGAGTTGGCCATTTTGGAATGGTTAGCAACCACAAGCATTGAAAGCCAAAGATCCTGCCCTCCATGAATAAACACACATGAACAAACACAGCAGACCAGAGGGTCAAGCATCAAGATGAAAGTCAGACTACCTCCTGTCTATCACCGGTATAATAAAAACATTTTGAAGATTATAAAGTATAAAGAAAAAAGCAGGCATGTACTGATAATGTGTCCTTGTCTGTACAAACTGGCCGAGCAGAGTTATGCAAACACTTATGTTTACAGGCAGGTAGGAAAGCCTGTTGTAATGTTTGGAACAAAGACATTTTGATAGGACAAATTTTTCTTCCTGCTACAACTACAACACCAGGTATATATATAAATATTAATACATTTATGACACTTCAAGTAATGAGTGCAATTGAGATCTGAACAGACTTTCAACCTGGATAACATGTTTTTGAAGCAAATTACATATCAAGTCTTAAAATACTATATTTACACATTGGCTTTTTACACTACAGTAAGGAGAGGATGTAGATATTTTTAAGTGTAAACCTTGATTCTGTGTTCTTCTGTATCAGAGATGGTGGCAACACGGATGAGCATGGGATTACGTTTGTCCACTGCCTCCAGCTTCACCCCAACTTGGAAGCCATGTGGTGGTCTCTGGATGGCCAAAAATCAATGGTCAAACATTAAACACACAAAAAAAGAACATATATCATCTAATTAATAGTTATATAACATATATACACAACCGATCAAAAGTTTGGAGTCAGTAGGATTTTTAAATGTTTTAAAATGAGCTTATTCTGCTCACCAAGGCTGCATTTATTTCATCAAAACTTTTAAAATTGTAAAATGTTATTGCACTTTTGCACATTTGTCATTGCTATTGCAATGTAATTAATTACTGTAATATTAATTATTATTGTTATTATTATTCATAATAATAATAAGCGTAATAGTAATAAAAGCAATAATGACTACAGTAAAGATTTCATTTGAAATGACAGACAAATTTTATTTTTTACATTTATTGTAATGTAATGCCGGCCATGATGAACGGAATACTTTTATTTAAATTATTAAATAAAATTAATAATAAAATCAGATAAAACGTGTTCTAGAAAACATAATTGTAAACAAAAAATGTAAAACTTAAAAAAAATTTGTTCAGTTACAAGACAACAGTGTTTTGAGAGACTAATTGCTTCAGAAAAAGCTTTCAAGGTGCTGGTATTTGATGTAAATGATGAATAATCATTCAAATATAGTAAGACATTTTATGAAATAGTAAAATATGTAAAAGATACACTGTCCTTTCAGGAATCAGCATGTGCATTCAACAAGCAAGAAGTTAATACTAACTGTTTTGGTTCTAAAAATCACGGTACACAGTCATGCCACAGTATGCACTTATTCTACAAACTATGCATATGCATACTGCAGTATGCATACTGTGCTTATAAAATATTCCCATTTTTGGGATGATTTTACCAGTCTTATTGCCTACACGCAAAACTATCCCTAAAAAGTTTGCATTATTACTATATTGTCAGGTAAACATATCCTTTTTCTTTTGTAACATTTAAAAATGATTTATATCCATCTTTCACAGTTCAGTGGGGAGGATCAAACCTCACCTGTTTAAAGGCTCTGGCTGGGGCAGCCTGGGTTCCAGTTTCTTCAAGGTATTTTTCCCAGGAAAAGCCCTTAAGGTGTTTATACTCTAAAAGAGAGGCACAAACAGACTTCAAATAACCGAAATATAACCTGCCGTGCTCATAAGTGTTCCCTTCAAAGTGAATGTGTGAATGAATAAATAAATACATAAATAAGATAACAAAATTTGGAGCACAATGGAGTCAGTAATAAAAGGAATTTGAACATATTTTAATTACATTATATTATTAATATTTTTATTATATTATAATGTATTATATTGTGCACCCCGAATCCTGCAATGTCAAAGACGATGCAACACTTCTCTTAATATAATTCAATCTTAAAAGTAAATGTTAATGGTGTACTGCCTGCAGGGGGTAAATATTATTGAAATGATGAATATTGTGAGTCTTACCTGCAGGTGTAGTGAGCGTTAACTTGACTTCCTCACAGTACCCTACTGGATGAATGTATGGACTGCTGGCATCACACCTGAGAACAAACAGAACATATTCACCACCACAGGCACTCACAGAGCTATTCATCAACTCAGCGAATCTGCAAGCATCTCACCAATAATCATGCGTATCGTCACAGTGGTCAATGTGAATGAGGAGTCGGTTATCAACAGCAGCAGCAATGGTCGCTACACAAATGTCTGACAGGTTCTTCCTGTCCACAGCTTCCAGCTTCATCCCTGCACGAAATCCTGACGGCGTAACTGACTAAACATGGCAGAATACACATGATTAATGAAGTCACCATGATCCCTGTTAACAAAAACCAACACTGATTGGACTCTTGAAGTGTGTGTGCTTGAAATGACATACTGTATTAAGACTCTTGAAGAGATGTTTGGGGGCCAATTGACCTCTACAGTTTTTCACATATGTATTCCAGTTAAACTCCCCATCTCTGCAGCCTGTAAGCAAACAGACAAACATTAAAGGGATAGTTCACTCTTAAATTTAAATGTACTCACGATTTACTCACCCTTAAGTGGTTCCAAACCTTTCTTTATTCTGCTGAACACGAAAGAAGATTTTTTTGAAGAAATCTTAAAACCGGTAAACATTGACTAGGGAGGTCAATGGATACAGGTTTTCAGCTTTCTTCCAAATAACACATTTCATGTTCAACAGAGGAAAGAAAGTCAAAGAGGTTTGAAACAAGTGAAAGGTGCATAAATGATGACAGATTTTCTGTATCCCTGGGTTTTTAAATAAACTGCATTTTTTAGCAGCACATGCACATGTTTTTTGCACCAAAATGTTATTGAAAAAGTGCATTTACACATTTATTGTTTGTAAAAAATGAAGTTTACAATACTAAAACAAACAATACAAACATTAAATGAATCCAATACTAAAACAAACATTTTAGAATAATGACTGTTTCACTTTGCTACATCATTCAGACTGAAATATTAAGAACTGAACATGTTAATAACTGATGAAACATGCTAGGCAAAATTGGTAAGAAGTCAAAAATCTGGACTAATATCTGCTGAATTATTTGCTTTACTATTTTGAAATAAACCGATTTATTTTGCATCACACACTCCTGAATTATAGTTTTATCCATTTCAAAATGTTATTCAAATCATGTATTTGCACATTTATTGATTATATATAACAGCATATATGACATCATTCAGACTGAATTATTTACCACATAAACGGACATCTATAAAACATCTTTAATGCAGCAAAAGTAAAGCACTGCACAAGAGCCGTTTTGCATGTTGTATCCTTGACAACACTTATTTTTCCCTGTATATCTATCTCTATTAGTACATTAAGCACCTTTTGGCAGCAAGAGCTTGAGGCTGGTTTTCTCACACCACCCTGGAGGTTTCACATCCCACGAGTCAGCATTAACCCAAAAGTCATAGCACTCAGGATAACCATCAAAATGAAGCCGAATCCTGTAGCCTTGCACCTGAAAGCAATATCAAACCATGTCAGAATACACATAATAACATATTGAGTTATAAATGTTGAATGATTTCAATCTTGTTTACCTCTGCAACAGTCAAAACGCAGAAGAGCGCAGGATGACAGGGGTCCAGCCCTTCTAATTTCATGCCAACTTTAAATCCATTCCTGCTTTGAGGAAACGACTGGTGCTGTTGCAAATATGTTAGATTATTATTATTTTTTAAACCATACATTTTTTTGTTATCTAAAAAAATCCTTCAAACTGCAGAGTTCTCTTCTTTCAAGTAACAATTTTTTGTAATGATAAAATTGGCCTGACATCAAACTAGCCACCCTATTCAGAATATAAAGTATTCTGTTAATTATAGAACTGTGAAAAGACATGCAAGTTACACATGCTGTGAGTCTGACCTCTTTAAAGAGTTTGAGCGGAGCGGCAGCAGCTCTCTCCTCCTCCAGATAAACTGACCAGCTCCAGGTTTTCTTCTTCACGAGAGGTGCCGTTACTGTGGAAACAGGATCACAAAGAGGCACTTTATGTAACTTAAGAAAAGCATCCATATGATTACTTTGATAACTGATGATACATATGGAATACTTTGATATTTGATGATAAATAAAAATACAAGTCGATTCAATAACTGCATTGTGAGTCAGTATTAGTGCACTATAATGTTAACTCAGGGCCCTATTATCCACAAGTGTTACAAAATTTTCTATTAAATTGTGTGAAAAACATTATCATCATATTGCATTATGGTTTTGTATTTGAAAATTAGATTATAAATTTTAAACATTATAAGGTATTTAAATTATAAAAGTGAAATCATGAAATGCTTGATACATTAGCCCCTTTTACACATACATCATTTTCTGGGAAAATTACCTGTATATTACCATGAAAGGTCATAAAGAGGCCTTTTATATATACCAGAAATATTAATCAGCAATTAGAAGCTTTGAAGGGCACTAATTACTCACTTTATGTGGGTTAATGACGTTTTTCACTTCATAAAACTGGAACAAATTAGACATTGTCTAAAGGGTTTTCCAAAAACTTTGATAAAATTTGGGGTTTTCTCCTTTAATACAAGGGGAATGTATACTCCCTGCATACTGGATGACAGTTAATTTTTACATCATGATCAGGCTTTTAGTTTGGTGTATAAACAATTATTTTGGTTGTTGCAAGATTATTATTTTTATTTCATTATTATTATTATTATGATTATTATTTGTTTGTTTTTGTTGCTTTTTTGTGGTTTTGTTTTATTTTTGTTTCTATTTATTTATTTTTTTAAATACATAAATTTATCTGGGGGTCAATATATGTCACAATTTCCTTGTTTACGTCTCTGTCTGTCTCTCTCTATCTCTCTCTCTCTCTCTATCTATGCCAAAATGTACAATAATGTTAAAAAATGTGTGATATTTATACATTTTTGAAAAATTCTATAAATAAAGTAGAGAAAAAAGGCCACTAATAAAGGTTTTTTCTCGCCGCTGTTGCCACTGGCTTGCATGGTTTGGGACCTGTAGAGCTGCACATCGATGGATTTGCTCTTCAGTGTTTGAACTCTCAGTAGGGATTATTTAACCACACTGAACTGAGCTAGACTGAACTGAACTAAACTAAACTGAACTGAACTAAACTAAACTTAAACTCTGAAAACTGGGCTGACACTGTTTTACTATGATCTTCAATGTAAAGCTGCTTTGACACAATCTACTTTGTAAACGCGCTATACAAATAAAGGTGAATTGAATTGAATGTTTGTAAATGGCCGCATGGTGTCAGTAAACTTGCATTTTTGTGTTTGTGTGTGTGTACTGCAAACTGCATTTGTGTGAGACACATAATTTCAGAAGGGCTTAAATAAACTCCACCACAAACACATCAAATAAACATACTTGGTATTTTTGACCAATGAGCTTTATTTTAGCTTCATTCGAGCCTATCTCTGTCACTGATGGTTGTTTATCTGACGTAATGCATGAGAAGCAGACGGGCACATGGGAACAGTGGGTGGGGAGAAGCAGCTTATTTGCATTTAAAGCCACAGGCTGCAAAAATAGCTACAATGTATTCAGACACCAATATGGGCAGATTCTAGAGGCTGTAATAAATAATCTGATGGGTATTTTGAGCTGAAATTTTAGATACATTTTGGAGTAACCAAAGGCTTATCTTACATCTTGTAAAAGAGGTAAAATAGGTGCCCTTTAACTTTACCAGTAAATTGATGGAATTCCACTGTGTGTGAACGTGCATGTTTTTTAATGTACGAGTAAATTCCTTCTAGTAATTTTACAGTAAATTACCGATATTACTGTGTGCTTTAAAAAAATTACTTTTGCTGGTTGTATAAACTTCTTATTTAAAATGAGTTGAAAAAAATTAAATTCTAACGCAATTAAATTGTTTTATGTTCAATCCACTTAAATAAAAATAAACAAAGATTAACTTAACTTGTGTTGGGACAACATGAAGAAATTGAGTGCAACCCAGCATTTTTACAGTGTGAAAGGAGCTAACGTCTGACAGGTGCACCGTGCAAATGTGTTCGTAAGCTAAATGACAAACCTAGTCTCGCAACTTTAGCCGCTCGTCTGCCCTTTGAGGATTTAACTCTCTCCTGAAAAAAAAAAACAGAAGAAAAATCAACATTGAGGAATACAGTACATGACTACAGTACTGAATATGTGAGTGTGTGTGTATTACCTCTTCCTCTTCTATATTCTCCTCCTCCTCATCTTCAGACTCCATAAACATCTTCTTCTTCTTTCTCACACGTTTACCTAAACGCTCACCTTCGAATGCCTCAGCTGGGGTTGACCTGCAGATACACACATACACTGATAGTGTAAACAAATACAGGTTAATCAGTGCAACCAGTAGATCTCTGGAAGTGTTAAAACCACGCACCTCCCACTAGAAGGCTGTACACAAGAAGCGCTGCAAAATTTGCCCTGTAGGAAGGACTCCCTTGAGCCAGAGAGACCACAGGTCCTGCAGTTTATGGGGGCTTCGGTGACAGGAACGATGGCATTGGGAACAGTGTTTATGATGGGGTTGTCAACCGTGCTGCTGTCCCCGCCGGCCTGCCTTTGGGGCTCGGTGGAGGCTGAAAAACCAAGATAAACTGAGCTTTCAAAACAGAATTGAATAGTAAATTAGGAGGTGTATATTATTTATCGACTACAATAACATTGTAATTGCTGTTATTAGCATAATTGCTGTTTCACTTTGCAAAAAATAAATAAATAAATAAATAAAATCATGTATTGACAGTGCAGTAGCATCTGCTGCATGACGCATTAGCACTATTAGAATGCAGTTAGAATAAGCCTATAATTCAGGATACAGAAGCAAAAATATCCTGGCATGTTTTTATGTAAATCTTTTATGATATATCAAGACAAGATATGATGTTTTCAGAAATCAGCATGTTAGTGTGATCACGAATATGATATTGACTTTGCACAACAGTTCAACAAACAAGAAGTATATACAGACTGTTTAGTTCTAAAAGTCGTGTTGTACACACACACTAGCTGACAAAGTCTTGTCGTCGATCCCAGCTGTAAGCACAACAAATAAAAACTTGACTTCTAGTTGATCATTTGGAAAAGTGGAAAAAGGTAGATTTTTTATCTGTTAATCTGCATCCCATTCATTACAAATACTCCAGAAGATCTATTGGAACCCGCATGGACCCAAGATTCTGACAGAAATCAGTCAAGTTTGGTGAAGGAAAAATTGGGTTACATTCAGTATGGGGGCGTGCGAGAAATCTGCAGAGTGGATTGCATCGTCAACAGCCTGAGGTATTAAAACATTTGTGCTGCCCATTACATTACAAACCCCAAGAGAGGGCAAATTCTTCAGCATGATAGCGCTCCGTCTCATACTTCAGCCTCCATATCAAAGTTCCTGAAAGCAAAGGAGGTCAAAGTGCTCCAGGATTGGCCAGCCCAGTCACCCGACATGAACATTATTGAGCATGTATGGGGTAAGATTAAAGAGAAGGCATTGAAGATGAATCCAAAGAATCCTGATGAACTCTGGGAGTGCTGCAAAAATGCTTTCTTTGACATTCCAGATGACTTTCTTAATAAGTTATTCGAGACAATGCAGAGATGTATGGATGCAGTCCTCCAAGCTCATAGGAGTCATACACAATATTCATTATTTTTTGACTGCACCATGACTTCATTTTAGATACTGTATATTATTTCTGTTAAGTGACAAGACTTTTGTCTAAGCAAAGTCAGACCTTACTGTCCTAATTAAATCATTAAAAATCAAGGCATGATCATATCTTATTTTGGTAAAATAAGCATAATCTAGAGGCCTTTGCCATTCAAATAAGCCACTTCTGGTACCAAATGATCAACTAGATGTCAAGTTATTATTGGTTGTTCCTAAAACTTGAATAGGCGACAAGACTTTTGTCAGGTAGTGTACAGTAGGTGTATACTTTGCTTAAATGCAAAATTTGCATAATACAGCACTCAAAAGATAACATGTGCAAAAAACCTGAAGTTTACTTTCTTGCCATTCACTTACCAGGAGTACTTGTCTGATGATCAGTATTTGACTGGATCTTTGCAGTCTGATTTGAAGTTGTGTTTAAGTCAGGTGGATGACGGTTGATTGGGCCTGTAATTTTAGGCTGTGGGTCTGTAAGCTCTGTTTCTTTAATTTTGGGTTCTGCCTCTGTGACAATCTCCAAAGTGCCAAATTCAGTCATCCGAAACTAAAGAGAGTGAAAAGATTTTTCATTAGCGACATTCATATATGTTCCTCATGTCATTCTTAATGAATTAGAAAGATTAAATATTTGTACCCGAATGTCACTTCCAGGCAACGTGGCTATGCCGTCCTTCCAGTCTAGAGCACTCATCATGTCAAAATCACCTCCTGTGGCAGGGCCATCACTTACAGATGTCTCTGCCATCTTTTTCTGTAAAACATAAATGAGACCTGAAATAAAAATGTAGTGTTACAACACAGACAGTGACATGAGTGTCGGCAAACACTGTAATGACCAACCTTTAGTGATTAGGAAAATGGTGATATTAAAATCGACCAATTCCAAAAAAATTTTTTTTTTTTTTAAAGCCAGTACAAGACACATTAGCAGATAAATAAAAATTGTGATAAGTTTTGAGCCTGATACAAAATTGATCAACAAATCAAATGATTAATAAATTCAGAATTCTCATTTTTTTTGACTCAATCTTTTGCAATTTTTGCATTAAAAAAACTATTTTTATTTATGTAGACTAAAAATAATAACCCTCTAAATTAAAATGCTTTAAATAATTTCTGAAAAATAAAAGCATTACAACTACATTTTAATAGCTGTATTTCTTAAGGGCTCTATCAAACTACTGAATTTACATTACTTTTCCAGACATTTATGATTTAGTAGCTAACACTATCGATAAAATATAAGGCAAAAAAACAAATATATGCTGGTTCAAATATTTGTCCATGTATCCAAAACTGAAGGTCGTCAAATAAGAAAACAAACCCGGTAAGGCATTATCATGACATTTGTTGCTTCAAATATCGCTTGTCTTGTTTTTAATCACATAAGTTGTTGTTAAATGTTGAGCACCTCTTGGTGTTTATAGATAACCAACTGCATTTTGGGTCTCAAATATGTGCTGTGATTATGCTAGATAACTTTAAACGCAATATAATGTAAGAATATGATATAATTAGTGAATCATCACTGCTATTTGATAATAATAATTCTTGAAAACAATGACCACTGCACCAAGTCTGCACGTCAGCGATCTTCAAAGGCCTGATTATAATCACTTCCATGTGGCAAGTGTCGGAAAATGCACCAATACTTTTTAAGCACTACACAAGCAGATATCGTTTAAGCAATCAAAGATATCGTTTTCAATCATGAAAACGCTTCGAAAACATTGTTTGTCTGTGGATGATGAAACGACCGCAACTCAGGTTTACGAAACAACTGTGCGTCGCTTGTAATTCCATCTAATCCCGCTGGAGGGCGACTAGTGCTTACAGTACGGATTACACCAAGCACTTTCAGAAGGACAAAAATATGTATTTCAACATAGTTGTTATGTTAATTTGTACGAGCTAGTCATGTATACAGACTCGTACTGACACAATTAAACTACTTTGCTGCTTAGTCATGAATAAAACCGACGAAAAGTAAAGTTAGAAGAACAAGTTCGGCTTTTCCTTGTTTTAAAAGATTCTCCTTAAATCTGTGCTTTAAAAGCGGGCGGATGATCGCATAGACAAGTCAAAACGTGCGTACCCGCGATGAATTTGTTTTTAAATAAGAAATTGGTCATTTAAGTGCGTTATCATTCGTATACAACAAGCACTACTGTAATAACGTTCTTGACCTGTCGTTTATCATAAATCAAAATTGCATCCAAATCTCAGACTGTACAGTAACGGCACCCGGCAAACATCACATAAAAGGTCATCAGGTTTATTAAAAAACATTGTTTGAATATTTCAAGTGATGCCAGAATTTATTCCGAGCATAAATAAAGTGCAATGCGCGAGCGCCCATTATTAGCATTCGACTGACACACAAAATGGCGGAGCATAGCAAAGGGCCGCCGACACGTTTAAAGTATGTAAATTATAACAGTTCTCTGGACTGTTTCGCGTCGCTCAGACCTTCAACTAACCCTGGAAGGCCAAGTGTACAACTTGTTTTATTAAAACGCAATGTTTTCCCCTCCGATAAGAAACTCCTTACTTTCCCCTTGTCACGGAATGTCGTTAGCCCTACTGATAGCCCTGGCTAGCTGTAACATTAGCAGGGCAGCCTACAATAAACCAAATCAACAGTTTCACGTGCTTATCCGAAAGAAAAACATTCCCCGAGATACTTTGGATAAGTTGCCATTCATCCTGATATAAAAATAACAATTCGGCTGCACGCAGACACGAGGAAATAAAGAAATGCATGCTTTTAATTTCTTCTGCACAAACTTGTCACTTCTATTTATCTTTACGCTTTTTAAAGGTCGTTAAAAATCGCCGCAGTGGTTGAAAACTGTTAAACAACAAACGCACTCTGTGTTAGTATCGTTGTTTACTGCGTGGGTGACGACACGAACGTCATATTTATTGATAAACGTGCAACTCACCTCGTTTCTCTCTTAACTCTTATTTAGAGCTGGATGGCGGCGTTACTGCGCATGCGCCGATTCATATGTGTCGTCCAACTTCTATAGCCTCTATAAACTTCATCGCAACGTTTGTTTGTGAAGGATGCTCTTCATGATGCAAACAGTTAGACGAACTGAAGCACCTAGAGTCCTTACGTGACCCCAGAATTCGCTTAATCAGTGCGTGTTGCTCTAAGAAGGCCTTATATTAAAGATATAGTATGTGGTATTTGAATCTCCTTACGGTTTTGACGCTCTTAAAACAAAAGGAGTCCGCTTTATTCAAATGGGATCACTAATAGTTGTGTTTAATGTTTAATGTAACCTTGCAAGTGCGCGTTCACAGTAACGTGCTGTTGTTTTTAAAGTGTGAATTTGTAGCTCTTCTGTTTAGTCTTGGTATGGTGATCCTATGATTTGATTTCCTGTAACTATCACGTGTTCAGGTTTTACGCAGCAAATCTTTTTTTTTTAGCAAAAGGAGTATTACGGTCATATGTCTGATAATAAACAGAGAACTAGATATTATTCGCGAACCAACAGCGTTTCAACCATTAAAACGGAAGTTCATAATGTTCAAATACAATGTTTTAACAGCCGCATTGTGCAGAGAAAGTGCCGTGAAGGAAGAAAGCAAAGACACCACAAGATGGCGCTGTGAGCTTAAAAATTGACATTAATGTTGCGAGGTGAGTGTGGAGGAGCAGGAGAGACTGATAATGAGCTAAGAAAAATATTTAATTACTCAAACATAAGAATGTATGTAAATAAATTGCACTTGACGTTTGTCAAATGCTTAAAATAAAATTTAAAGTGTGCATTTAAATGATTTATTAATACTTTTTATTATTTCATAAATTCACGTTATTAAACAAGATGAAATAATTTAAATTAAAATGTGTATATGTATTTATAATTTAAAATAATAATGCATTGTTTTATTGTTTTATTAAATTACATTTATAAATGTTTATTATTTTGTCATTTAAAAAATTATTAATGTACTTTATATAGAATTTGTTTGATCAACGTTTTAAAACATTAATTATTTAGTATCTGTTTATGTCTGTTTAGTAATGCAAAAATACATTGTTATGTATGTTTTTTTAATGCATTGTTTTATTGAATGACATTTAAACACAAATTAAATACATTTAAATGCCTACTAATTTACCTATTTAAAGATGAATTATGGTGATGTAGTGGCGCAGTAGGTAGTGCTGTCACCTCACAGCAAGAAGGTCGCTGGTTCAAGCCTCGACTGGGTCAGTTGGCGTTTCAGTGTGGAGTTTGCATGTTCTCCTGCGTTTGCGTGAGTTTCCTTCGGGTGCTCTGGTTTCCCCCACAGTCCAAAGACATGTGAATTGAGTAGGCTAAATTATCTGTAGTGTATGAGTGAGTGTGTGTGGATGTTGTGTGTGTGTGTGTGTGTGTGTGTGTGTGTGTGTGTGTGTGTGTGTGTGTGTGTGTGTGTACATGCATACATTTGAAGTCAGAATTATTAGCCCCATTTAATTATTTTTGAAATATTTCCCAAATGATGTTTAAAACAGCAAGGAAATTTTCACAGTATGTCTGATTTTTTTTTTTCTTCTTGTTTTATTTGTTTTAATTTTTTTAAACACCATTTTAAGGCCAAAATTATTAGCCCCTTTACGCAGGTTTTTTTTTTTTTTTGATTGTCTGCAGAACAAACCACTGTTATTCAATGACTTTGCTAATTACCCTTACCTGTCTAGTTAACTTATTTAAAATAGTTAAGCCTTTAAATGTCACTTTAAGCTGTAGAGAAGTGTCTTAAAAAATATCAAGTCAAATATTTTTACTGTCACCAGGGCAAAGGTAAATCAGTTATTAGAAACGAGTTATTAAAAAATTATGTTTCAATTGTGTTTAGAAATGTGTTGGAAAAAATCTTCTTTCCGTTAAACAGAAATTGGGGAAAAAACAAACAGGGGGCTAATAATTCGGGGAACTGATATTTCTGACGTCAAATGTATATATATATATATATATATATATATATATATATCGGGTATTTATTTATATACATTTTATAAGCGAATTATTACATTTAATGAACTGATTCTTTATTTTATTTTTAAGTGTTATTTCTGGCCTTCTATTGTGGAGCATGTTGTTTGGTTGAAGCCAAACTCAGAAACTATAATGTCAATGTGATTTATAAAAATAACATGAACACTCAAAACAGCTGAAGATTAATTTCGATGGTCCACTGATGACAGCTGTTACAAAATCATTGCAGGACAGCGTTTGCACAACAACGAAGAGTAGACCTAATGTTTCTTATGTAAACATAACTTTTATTTAAAACAAATTATCGAATACACAGACCTTTCATAACAAAACATATCCCATAAACGTGCATTGGCTTTAAATGACTGATTCTTTCTACCACGATCTTGACAGACTTTCATCACACTTCCCAGTTCCATCTTCAATCAATACATTTGCAGTTTATAATTCAGATTTAAAACTCTTTCCCTTTTATAGCTCAATATATTTCTTAAAGTCTTTTTCATCCTGCAGTCTCATTTTATCACAGTCAGAACGCCACTCAAATTGTGTTTCTGTTCAAATCAATTGTTTGTTTTATCAAATATATATTAAATAGGATTTTAAAAAGAATTAAATAGCATATGAATGTTTGCAAAACACAGTCAGTTTTGATAGAAACGTTGTAGTGTGCAAATGCATTGGTCCAGCTAACCTAAAAAAATGAACTGTGCTTCAGTGTTTGCAAAAGTTAAAAGTCATTAGAATCTTTTTTGGACAAAATGTCTATTGGTCTGACAGAATTCTGTCTTAGTGTCCACGCGTGAGTGAGAGAATGTTTTCATTGATGAAGGTGAAGCCAGGAAAGTTCGCTCCGTGATCCTCACAGGCTCCGAGTGAGTGTGGAACAGGAAGTTCAGTAAACCGAGGGTCAATGTTCGTGAGGTCACCAGGGCCAGACTGAAATAAAGACATTCAGTACAAATGATTAACACAGTAACCAAGAGAAACTGTTTTTACTTCTGTGGAAAACAAATTTAGATATTTTGATGAATGTTTTGACAATCCATTGACAATTTAGACCCCGTTGACTTTCACTGTATGGATAAAAAACCCTGACATTTCGAAGAATGTTTTAATTAATACAGTAAAAGTCAACCTATTAGACCCCTATTTTTCTAAATATATTTTGATTAAAAATGTTGTCCAAACAGTGAAAGTGTACCTGTTGATTTTTTTGTATTAAAAGAATTGGGTATGATACATTTTCTGTTTATTATTTTTAAGTGAACAACCTAAATAAAGACAAATATCTAGTAAAAAAGAAAAAAACTCACCAGTACAGGAACATAAGGAGGCTGGATCTTCTTTGCAACAAGTTCATCCCACTGAATAGGTGAGAAGAATGCATGAGACTGCAGCTCAATCTAAAAGCCAAAAAAGAAATGACATTTAACCACTCTCGAGATAAATGAATTTGAGATTGTGTGCTTGTCCATGAATGTGTGTGTGTGTGTGCTTGTTGGGTTACCAGGTCACGTTTGGCTCCGAGTCTCTTGGCCCTGTCCCTGTTTAGCAGTCTCTTCAGCAGATCTCTGGCTGCACTAGACACCCCGGCCTTTAGTGCCAACGGCTGATAAATAATATTTCGGAGCATCTCAAGACGATCTGCATTGTAGAAAGGTGGCTGAAAAGAGAAAAGAGTGTGTTAAACACACGTCTCTACCTGTATTATTCATCTATGTTTCCTCTCAACAGTTTGGAATGATTACAATGTTTTTAAAAGAAGCCTATTCTGCTCCACAAGGCTGCACTAATTTGATGAAAGAAAATTAAGGAAAAACTGTAAAAATGTGAAAATGTTATCACAGTTTTAAATAGCTGTTTTCTTATTAAATGTAGTTAATTAACTTTGTGAATTAAATCTGAGTTTTCAGCATCATTACTCCAGTTTTTAGTGTCACAGTCAATGCTGTGATAGAGTGTAATTCCAATCTACCATTATATGTATATACTTTTATTAATTAAGGACACAATAAATTATTAAATACTTCTAATGTATATATATATATATATATATATATATATATATATATATATATATATATATATATATGTACATGATAATGTACACATGCACATGTACATAATAAATATATCACATACACATATATTACGTCAAAACTTAATATATCTGGATCATTTTTGGATATGATTAATCGTGATTAATCTTTATATTATTGTTTAGTAATATATTAAGTAAAACTGATCGGTTTTCAGCTATGAATTAGGAAAAATAATTCAACATTGATAGTTATACAAATCTTTTTTATTAGTAGTTTATAATAATAATAATTGATCATAACACAACAGCAAATCAGCACATTATAATGGTTTCTGAAGGACTATATAACACTGAAGACTGGAGTAACGATGCTGAAATTCCATCTTTGAATCACAGGTAAATAAAAGTTTAAACTACACTCAAGTTTTTTTTTAAATTGTAATAAAAACTTTTACTTTATATATTATACACAGTGTTAACAGTATTTTGATGTAGCCCTTGCCTTCTTTTTAAAAGCATTAGAGTTATTGTTTTACTGTATCCAAACTTTCAACTGGTATGTAAATAAGCATTCATTGGTGGCTTTGTTTACCAGGCCGTAGAGCATTTCATGGAGAACAGCCCCCAGACCCCACCAGTCCACCGTCCGGTCATACTCCTCCTGCAGAAGAACCTCCGGTGCTAAATACTCTGGTGTTCCACAAAATGTTCTGGTGGTGCCGCGTCCGCTCATGCCCTCCTTACACAAGCCGAAGTCGGTCAAAACCACATGACCCGCTGAATCTAGCAGAATGTTTTCTGGTTTCAGGTCCCTGTGAGCGTGTGAGAGAGATGGATCACTGCAAATCTGCTGAAAGTTTCATTATGTTCTCACTGAGCACATATGAATAAGCTAATCTGCATGATACAGGCACAGATATTTAAGAGTGTTGGTTTACCTATAGACAATTTTCAGGGAGTGTAAGTATCCTAAAGCACAGGCCATCTCAGCAGCATAAAATCTGGCTCTGGCTTCCCCGAACACCCCCTCCCTCTGTAAATGGTAAAAA